AAATCAAAAAGGAATTTTACTGCTGTTTTTACTAATATCCAGGATTTATGTGTGTGTTTGTTTGAGTGGTATTGGGTTCATTCTACTATTTGACTGTCGAGCTGAGCAGACGTATTAGAAGCTAAAAGAAGAAAAAGGCCCCAAGAAAACAGCTGGCCACCAAGGCTGCCCGAAAGAGCGCCCCAGCTACCGGCGGTGTAAAGAAACCTCACAGATACCGAATTGTTGATCCGAAAACTTCCCTTCCAACGATTGGTGAGAGAAATCGCTCAAAACTTCAAGACTGGTCTTCGATTCCAGAACTCAACTGCCATGGCTCTCCAAGAAGCCAATGAGGCTTATTTGGTCGGTCTTTTCGAAGATACCAACTTGTGTGCCATCCACACCAAGAGAGTGACCATTATGCCCAAGGACATTCAATTGGCCCGAAGAATCCGAGGCGAACGTGCTTAAAAAGTGCAGTTCTTGCAATAAACAAAAAAAACGGCCCTTTTCAGGGCCATCCAAAATCTGAAAAAAGACACTTAGGTGCAGGATCTGAGTTTAGCGCATAAAATAGCGGAATAGCTCGAAAATAGCCTCTATTTTAGAAAATAAAATAGCTCCTCCCTAAGACGCTAAAATAGCGGCTACAGTTATTCTAATAACTCTATTAACAGTAAAATAATGTAGCGAATAAAATAGCAGAATAGCTTAAAAATAGCCTCTATTTTAGAAAATAAAATAGCTCCTTCCTTAAAACGCTAAAATAGCGGCTACATATATTCTAATATCTCTATTGTAGCAAAACGCTAAAATAGCGGCTACATATATTCTAATAACTCTATTGTAGCAAAGCGCTAAAATAGCGGCTACAGCTATTCTAATAACTCTATTGTAGCAAAACGCTAAAATAGCGGCTACATATATTCTAATAACTCTATTGTAGCAAAACGCTAAAATAGCGGCTACATATATTCTAATAACTCTATTGTAGCAAAACGCTAAAATAGCGGCTACATATATTCTAATAACTCTATTGTAGCAAAGCGCTAAAATAGCGGCTACATATATTCTAATAACTCTATTGTAGCAAAACGCTAAAATAGCGGCTACATATATTCTAATAACTCTATTGTAGCAAAGCGCTAAAATAGCGGCAACATATATTCTAATAACTCTATTGTAGCAAAACGCTAAAATAGCGGCTACATATATTCTAATAACTCTATTGTAGCAAAGCGCTAAAATAGCGGCTACAGCTATTTTAATAACTCTATTGTAGCAAAACGCTAAAATAGCGGCTACAGCTATTCTAATAACTCTATTGTAGCAAAGCGCTAAAATAGCGGCTACATATATTCTAATAACTCTATTGTAGCAAAGCGCTAAAATAGCGGCTACAGCTATTCTAATAACTCTATTGTAGCAAAACGCTAAAATAGCGGCTACATATATTCTAATAACTCTATTGTAGCAAAACGCTAAAATAGCGGCTACAGATATTCTAATAACTCTATTGTAGCAAAGCGCTAAAATAGCGGCTACATATATTCTAATAACTCTATTGTAGCAAAGCGCTAAAATAGCGGCTACAGCTATTCTAATAACTCTATTGTAGCAAAGCGCTAAAATAGCGGCTACATATATTCTAATAACTCTATTGTAGCAAAACGCTAAAATAGCGGCTACATATTTTCTAATAACTCTATTGTAGCAAAACGCTAAAATAGCGGCTACAGCTATTCTAATAACTCTATTGTAGCAAAACGCTAAAATAGCGGCTACATATATTCTAATAACTCTATTGTAGCAAAACGCTAAAATAGCGGCTACATATATTCTAATAACTCTATTGTAGCAAAACGCTAAAATAGCGGCTACATATTTTCTAATAACTCTATTGTAGCAAAACGCTAAAATAGCGGCTACATATATTCTAATAACTCTATTGTAGCAAAACGCTAAAATAGCGGCTACATATTTTCTAATAACTCTATTGTAGCAAAACGCTAAAATAGCGGCTACAGCTATTCTAATAACTCTATTGTAGCAAAACGCTAAAATAGCGGCTACATATATTCTAATAACTCTATTGTAGCAAAACGCTAAAATAGCGGCTACATATATTCTAATAACTCTATTGTAGCAAAACGCTAAAATAGCGGCTACAGCTATTCTAATAACTCTATTGTAGCAAAGCGCTAAAATAGCGGCTACATATATTCTAATAACTCTATTGTAGCAAAACGCTAAAATAGCGGCTACATATATTCTAATAACTCTATTGTAGCAAAACGCTAAAATAGCGGCTACATATATTCTAATAACTCTATTGTAGGAAAAAGCTAAAATAGCGGCTACATATATTCTAATAACTCTATTGTAGCAAAGCGCTAAAATAGCGGCTACATATATTCTAATAACTCTATTGTAGCAAAACGCTAAAATAGCGGCTACATATATTCTAATAACTCTATTTTAGCAAAGCGTTAGAGTTTTTCTAAAATAGTCCAGTTAGAATAGCTGTAGCCGCTATTTGAGAGTTTTTCTAAAATAGTCCAGTTAGAATAGCTGTAGCCGCTAATTTAGCCCTTTT